AAAGGGTTTTCAGTGATACAGGCAACAGTAAGAAGTGGCCGGAGCTTCTGATTGCCTGGGGTGAGGAGCCATAGATCACATCTCAGCCCAAAGGTGGAGGAGTACATGGCAACGGAAAGATACAAAACATGAGGAGGTACGTGACTCACTGCTGAAGGAACATGGAGGAACTCCGGAACGAAGGAGGAAAAGACGGGGGAGTCTCGGCAGAGCAAGTGCAAGCAATCGTGAAGGCGGCCGTTTAACGGACGATCCAGGGACTTCCAGAACTCTCAACTTGCCAACTGATGCCACTGGCATGCAGAGTCACCGCGCTGGAGAAGTCAGAAGAGACGCTTGAATAAAGGCAAGAAAGTTTCTTCAGGCAGTTCGACTCGAAGTAGAGAAAGACTGGCGGGGCCCAGTGGGGCGCGAAACGTTTGGACGCGGAATCATGCGCAACTCCCCAACTCCGAGAAGACAAATTCGAAAGTGTCGCAGTGGAGCTGCAGGGGGATGAATCGGAAATAGGTGAGCGTTAGCTTTAGGGCGTCGCTCGAACCCAATCCGCCGGCGGTGATACTGCTGCAGGAGTCAGGCAAGAAGGCAGTGAAGATCAAAGACTATACTACAATCCAGGGTAGCCAATATGTTGCGACGCTTCTGCAGAAGACGCACGCAGCCATGAGACTGGACTTGGCGGTGAAGTGTCGTGCTGTCACATTATGATCATCCCTGTGAAAAATTGAGATCGGGCTGTGCACATAGTGAATCTGTACGAAAATTCAAGCCTCCAAAAGCCGGACTTCAGGCCGCTCATCCCGGATGGGGTCAAGAGGTCGGGGCAGGGCCCGATTTAAATCCGGTAATTCCTTGCCCGGTTGGGGCTACAAGTGCGTTTTACCGCGAAGCAGAACGCTGGCAGAAAGTATCAAGCAGGAGCGCCTCTCGTTGCTTACCGAGGTTGATCAGCCGACTAGGACGGGGACGAGCTCATGCAGAGATAGGTGTCCGGATCTGACGCGGTTTAAGAGCGTGCTGAATGAAAAAACCTACTGGGGCAATTTGGTAGCAATCAATGCATACTCGGAATGACTATTCACGGGTAAGGATAGAGAACGACGGGAAAGGCAAGAAGCACGGATTGGGATCAATGGAGGGGACTGGAGGGGACAGGGGTAAAGGTGCAGCTAGCATCGAGAACATCGAGAAGTGGTCCACGGTGGTGATCGCCTTTGTCAAACCGCTCGTGACTTAAGTGGAACTTTCGGAGAAGACCCCACCTGTAGACACGCATGTGCTTCCTCTTTCGGCAGCCCGACGTGGGCTCACCAGGAGATAAAACACACAACGTTACAAGAAGCTGAAGAACAGGATTGAAACGCTCACAAAGATGGCTGATGACTATGCGCTGGACTTGGGCAGGAAGAACTGGCTTCCCAATACGGGGAAGCCTGGAAAAGGCTCAGGCGTGGACGCTGCTTAGGGCATTAATCGACCCGAGTAGGACAAAGGCTCTGACGAAAGGTCGTTTAGCGGAACTGATACGTAAGCTGCCGGGGAACCGCGAGCAGATCATGAATCGGTTGGTGGAAATGAATTTGTCTTTTGAATCAGCAGGAGATATCGTGGAATATGAAGGGCAGAAAAAACGTGAATTAGATTGGGCCGATTACGGTCGCGGAGTTGGAATAGGGGCAGGGTCCATGAGGAAGGGCGCAGCAATCGGACAACACTCACTGCAAAACTCCTCTGCAACTTGGGGGAAGGGGATCTGAAGGAGCTAATAAGCCATTTCAATTAACTTTTCTGTGAGCGCGGCATTACTCCGGATAGTTGGGAGGCGGTTGAGATTCGCTTCCTACCAAAACTCAAGAAAGCGCTAAAGCTAGTAAGTCTGCGGCCGATTTCGCTTACATCTTGCCTGGGCAAGGCCTTCGAATCAATCATAAACTCCAATGTTATGAGGTATCTAGACAAGGAGCAACTCCTTTAGAATACAAATTCGGTTTCAGACCTCACATGTTGAAGCAGGGCATTAACTTGTGGCTATTTAAGGACGTGTTGGAGAATCCGAAGAAGGGACACACGGGAGGCATTTAAGCGTTAGACTTAAAATTCTTGTTTGATGCTTCGCACGAAAGTATACTTAGGTGTCTCAGCAGAGTTAACTGCGGGATAAGAACCTCAGAGTGCGTTCCCAGCTTTCTGACGGACAGAATAGCTACGCTGGCGTGGAGAAGAATAAAATCTGGGACATATTGACAGGGCTCAAGAGGTACGCCGCATGGGGCAGTACTCTCCCCGTAACTGCTCCACTTGGCGCTGCAGGGTCTGCCGGAAGTGTTGAGGGAAGGTCAGAACTTAGAGCATGTCATCTACCGTATGACATCACTTTTTTATTTATTTATTTATTTATTTTTTTTTGGGGGGGGGGGGGGGGGGGCAGCGACGCGGAAATATAGGAGAAGTTTCTGGCGGCGGTAAAGGCCGTCCAGGAATATGTTAAAGCATGCTGGCTTACGTGTGCCCAGGAGAAATATAAGCCTGTTTTCCTGAACCCTCGCGACAAGGTGGTCGATTACATTGACGTGGTGATAGACGGAGCCCAGGTCCCTAAATCAGCGGAGGTTTGATTTCTGGGCTTGCTTATACAACATGGCGAGAGGAATAAGTGGATTATCAACGGACTTGACGTAATGACCACGCAGGTGTGCGGTATCATGAGGCGGATCGGGAACCGTAGACACAGCATAAAGGAGAAGGAGGCAATGCAGTTGGTCCAGGCTTAAACTCCGTACTTACACTCGAGCAAGGCGCAAAGTAAAAAACCTTGAAGGTGCTGATAAGCAGGGCGTACAGAAACGCGCTAGGGATACCGGAGCGTACAGCGACTGAGAAACTCCTTAAATGTGGGCTGCATAACAAAATAGAAGAACTTCATAAAGCTAATCCAGTGTCACTGCTGAAACAACACTTCTTGATTGTGATCGAAGCTTGGCTCGCTGAATAAACTGGAAATGGCAGTGCACGGTTGCCCTCACTGTCCTGGAGACGGGGTGGAAGTGCTGCTGGATGAGGTCAGTGAGAGATTCAGGGTCAGTAATATCCCGCGAAACATGCACCCGGATAGGGATGCTAAACGAGGCCAAGCGGGAGCAGTCGCCCTGGTTCGTTTCTGAGTCCACATATATTGAATTGTGTACGTTGATAGGTCCTGTCCGATGCTCGAGGTGGCCACAATAGCGGTGACCACTGCGCAAGGGCAGATCTGGCAAGTGGCTTAAATACGGGCGCAAACGGTTGAACAAATAGAAGAAGCGGCCGTTGCATTTGCGGTGGTTTGCAATCCTCGCGCGGCAATCATTCCGGATTGAAAAAGAGCGTGTAGGAACTTTGCGCTAAGGGTGGTGGGCCAACCAACTTCCAAATTCTTAAGCAAGACCGAAGTAAAGCGGGTACATTCGATCTTGACACGCGGGCATATGGGGCAGGTCGGAAACGAGGCGGCGAATGATGCAGCCCCAGGTGCATTATTCCGGGACTCGGTTCCGCCCCACAGGGGCCATGACAATGAGCACTCTTACAGTGAGGTCTTAAAGGCTGGAAGTTCGGATAGGGTGAAATATCTATGGCCGGGCAAGTGAGTTGGGCAAGGAAGAAAGATTCACCTGGAGAAGATTGCAGACTGACAGTTTTGTCACACTGGCAAAGCTACATTTGTGATACACTTAGCGTTACGCCACGGCAGACTGTCTCTTTTTTGGTGCGCGCTGGGTGGACGTTCATTACGTAGTCTGAATGTATAGGAATATTCCAGGACTGGATTCAGCGGAGGAGCCCAAAATCGAGGACTGGGAAGGGGGACTCAAGTGCCCGAGGGCTACCGAGCAGAGGCTGCTCGTGGCCAGGGCACTTCAAGTTCACGCCGCGCTTGGAGCCCCTGAATAGGGGCACACAGTAGCAAACTCATCTGTCCTATCATCGCTCTCCTTTCCTTTTCCAACTCTTACCTGTAAAAAATGTTGTTAACTAAAACATCTCAACATTCTCGGAAAGCCGCCTTGGTACACTGAGGACATATTCGCAAATTCATATGACATCTATTTAAGACACAATGCCACATTCAAGCGTCTTCTACGACGTCCACGCGGTTTGAAAACGTTGCGACTGATTTCTAAGACGTTCTTATAAAACGTAAAACTAACGCAACAATTCTTCAAACGAGACCCAGGGCCATATTGGAGACCGAGAGGAAACAACTCGGTTGAATGTTGACGTTGTGTAAAACCATATTTCTACATTGCGCTTTACAGAAGTAACCACTTACGTGCATTTAGTTTCCTTTTCGGTCCCATAATACCGACTTAATTATTGTTCAATTAAAAAGAACAATTAACTTATTTTTGTTACCGAACCATTTTCTCAACATATTTACTTTTGCGGTGCGAAGGCAAACAAAATGACAGTATCACCAAAGTTATCGCTCAACATGTCTTTAGTACTCGATAATTGTTTATGGTCTCTGCTTCCGAATAAGCATTCACGGAACAAAGACAACGAGGTCCTTTTGGTTAAACCCCTTATTATATATTGTCTTCGCCCACTTTAGCTTTTTTTTCTGCCAAAACTTTATGAAACTGAATTCGATCAAAATTAAGCCAACATTAAGGTGCGGGGAAACTCGTGTAGTGCGCAAGAGTTTAACCGAGAATGCTCGCTACAATGGAAACAACAACAAACCGAAAGCTTCATCTTGTGATTCCTGCATCTTTGCCCACGCCTCGAGGGTCGAATCCGCACTTTGAGCAGGCCATTCGCAAATAAAATAGTTATATGAATCAGACATTATCCTCGCACAGCGTTAGCACGCGGAAAAGATAAGCGAAACTCAATAACCACACTGAAACATCTTTCTCTCCGGTCACTTGACTTCAAATAAGTGAGCGGATTTTGGGTAACAGCGATTTGAACAAGGAAAGACTTTTAATTCGATTAATTTCTTATTCGCCTCAACTCAGGGCTTTCACGAGGGGGTGGCCTCAATAGCCTCTGAACTGCTCAAGTGGGGAGTCGTCGGCTCATTCCTGATTTGCTGGCTGGAAGCTTCGCAAAAGAACGAGACCCGCTTCAAGCGGCCAGCACCGTGGACACTCAGAGACATTGCCTGCCTGGTAAGCATTCACCTACAAACAAAAAGCGTTTCAACGATAAATCAACTGGTATCATTGAAAACCAAGTGGGATGCGTTAAAGGGATACTACAACGAGAGTTTGGCTCTCTTTTCTTGGTCTATATATGTATTCGAGAGAGCAGTAATACACCAACCTATTTTTGAAAAACACACAAAAAGGAATTTTTAAACGAATTAAACGATTAGCATTGGGAACCTGCTGGATGTCACTAAAGCCTCGTTCGCATTGCCCGTCCAGGGATCTCGAAAGTAGTGACGATGCCTGTCTTGCCTAGATCTATACATGTCTTGAACCTGACGTCATCACGCCAGTTCTCCGGCCACCAGGAGAGAAGAGGACAAAAAGGAACTCCCCTCTCACCGGAGTTCTCTTTTGTGTGCCCCAGACGCCGCTATTGTCCCTGCGCAAGATTAAAAAATGTCACTCAAAATTCGTAGAAAACCAGCTTTAGCGTTAATTGCGGTGGCCTGTTCGCTGGCGTTAGTCGGCCGATTCGGTGGCTGCAACGGCTAAGACATCCTGTCGACGACAGCCTCGCCACAGCTTTCCTCGTCCCGAGACAGACTACGTCACAATTGAGCTAGATGTCATGTGCGCTTCGCTGGCTGCTGTCCTAGCGCTTGCCAGGGTGGGCCGTTCATAACAAAAAAATTCAGCCACCAGGCTCAAAATACCAACATGCAATTGTCATTTATGGATTTAGTGGATCAGATTCAGCATATTTCTGAAAGCGTCGGGTATATATCAGATTTTGTTGAAGTCTCCCTTTAATAATATTTACTACCGGTTTTTAAAAATTTTCACATTAGAAGAAATCAAATAGATAAAAAACGCGAAGAATAACCAAGCATGAAAGAAGCTTGTTTGCGTGCTGGTGTTGTAAGATTTTTATCAATAAAATAGGACGTGGGGCAAGCTCTTTATCAATACTTAGGAACCTAACATCTACAAAACCTTATAAAAAGGCGAGTAAAACGCACTGTGCGCGTAGACGTGTGTCATGCTTGTAGATGATGTCCCATCATGGCCTTCATGAACGTCTTTTTATATGTAAGCACTGAAAAGTGCTGGAAAAGTAAAAACGAACGTCTCGTATTGCCGGCCCTTTCGAAGGCCTCACAGCCCAAAAAATATACTTTTTGTAAGAAGCATAACACGCTTTTTGTTCGAAGAACAAACTACATGATGAATGGTGTCCATGTTTCAGCTCCTCAGCATTGCTTCGTCAGCCTCCGCCATTCGAAAGGGCGTCTATGTGCTCCACGACCAAATCCTTTTCATAGGACACTGCCCCTCAATGCTGAGAGAAGCCTCGGCACACATTGCAACCGGCATTGGTCTTGTAAGCATTGTCAAAACTTATACACACGCATGCAGGTTGTTTTGTGCAGCCTGAGTGTTTCTTGTCGTGTTATTGTTTTTTTAACTAACGAATAAATATTCTGTTTTCAGGCGGGCCTCAGCCTCATCTCATCGCTGAGACGGAGACGGGGACTTGGCGTCTCAGGCCTGACCTGTTTTGTGATGGGCATGATATTCACGGCGACCGTGGTGGACCTACTGACACTTCAGCAGAGCCTCATAATGAACCAAGTGAAACTTCAACTTTGCAACTTCAATTTTAGAACTGAACCTTAATAGTACAATAACCCGGCTGTTCTATATTCTGGTGTAAAGTACTAAGACTTGTGAGCCTAGTACTAAAGTACTAGGCTCTTGTGAGCGACAGTCTGAGAAAGGCAAGGCGTGGCCCGTTATACCCATCGCTGCTGTACATCGTGCTCCACCACGCGACCAATAAAATGTTGCAGTATTATATAAAAAATAAATAGCAAAAACGAAACTGAATGGTCCACTTAATTCGCCCAGCACGCTTGGGAGTCGATTCCATAAGCCCTCCCTGTTTGCAGAATTCGGAACTTTGTAGCCTCCTAATGTAAGATGAAGCGAGGTGCAAAATGATATAAACCACTTCATTACAAGAAAAAGCCAATAATGACAATTAAAAAGATATATTTTTGTTTTATATAACTATAAATAACGCGGAAATGACAAAAACAATTTTCATCGCATTTCGCCCTTCGCGTAGTTTACCAGCATACGAAGCTTATTTTTCGTCTACGTTTTTTTCAACACTGCTTTCTTGACGTTCGTTTTTAGAAGTGGGCAGCACACCAGGCTAAAATAATCGTATTTACCAATGCTGAGTTCATTGATATTATTTATTTATTTGTTTCTCGTTCACTTTTTTGAGTTTCACATTCTGGGATATTTTATGCGACCTATTCTCCGCGGAGAAAGAATGGCGCTCTGTGCAGTAAGTAAAAATATTGTGAGCCAATGGTTGAGCTAAAGGCAAGCCCTACAAAAGCTCCGTTTTTCTGTTCTCTCCCGCTCAGTGGCTATTGCAGTATCAGGTTTCTGACGAAGAATAATTATATATCGTATCGAAAAGGGTATGAAAATTTAATCGTGTACTACTGCAATGGGACCATACCAAAGATGTAAACAAAATCAAGATTTGTTTGGCACGAACTCAGCAGAGCGGGTCTGAAAAGCCCTAGGAGGATTACGGATTCACTTAAACCTTTTAAAGACGTTCTGACGTGAAACAAAAATCGCGGTTACACGGCGCCTTTTCCGAAATAGGGTTTCGTCATATTGCGGTACACCGCGACCGAGATTCGAACCAGCCATCTGGGTAATCTCAGGTCGGTGCTTTGCCTTGGAGCCACCTAAGCGGCTTGAAGAAAACTTCGAAGTCGGTTGCTCTTAACATACTGAATTCCTAATAAGCGCCGATAATATAATATTAAATGTGCGACCCACAACAAAATTATGTAGCACTTTAAGTTTGATTCTGGTAAGCTCATAACTGCTATTGCCTTTTTTTTTTCTTTACAGGAAATCGCTCTTTCAGACTTACATTATCAAAAACCCATCGTGCTCCTAACTGGGTTATTGGCCTGTTTTACGTTGGGATGCTTCATATTCTCTGGACTTCGTGACGTCGTGGTTTACGACAGACGTACATTAAAGGTGACATCTAAGTTCATGTTCCTCATTGAAGCCGATTCCCCTCGTCTACCTGAGGAGTCCAACTGGTAAATTAACGGTCGCTAAAGTCCCGTTACTTACTGGTAGCCAAGAAGCTGAGCGTTGAAAAAACTTTGTTCATTTGTTCAACAGGATGACGCATCCAACTTACAAACAAATTTGCATTCAAGGTCTCTTTTCATGTTTTATTTGTGTCATTCTCGTCACAAATTATGCTTATTTGTACCTTCATTGAAAGCAATATCTTTGTTTTAGCGCGCCTAAAAGCAAAAAATTACAGATTAAACTTCCGTTAGCACTTCTGTGTGTCTCCGCGTTCTAAAGTATTTTTTTCTAGAACTTGTTAACTTCGAGCTCTATGTGCTTCGCCAAACCAAGTTAAAGTTATTTCTAATGCTTGGAAATCGTATTGACTTCAACTTTCTTTTCGTGGACTGTGAAAGCAAGAGCTAGTTCGAGAAGGTATATTAGGGATACAGACAAATGCTATATTAATCACATTCGAACTGCTTTTTTTTGTAAAGAATACAATATCTGTAGAAAGAACTTGACGAATTTCCTCTTTCCTTCTACATTTTATCATTTGTATTTGCATGAATATTACCTCTGGTTACAAAATATACTTTGAAATTTATAAAATGTTTAGAAATTTTTGTTTAGACCATAATATTGAGCAAAGGTATAATGTTGTAAAGAGTTCACTAGCTTTGCTACAATTGAAAGCAAACAATTGGGCTAATTAATACATGCGTATCCTATTATGCTCTACATAGCTATCGCTCCTACAAATGAAAAGCTATTTAAATAATTTTTCAGATACGGAAATCCACGGATGAAGATACCCACTCACCCTTCTGTATACTGATGGTGTTCGCCATCTACAAGTGAGGTTTGCGTGCCTGCTAATGTTTAACTCAATTATACTTGTTACCAGAGTTGTTCTTCTTGCAATATATGTTACTATCATGCCATATAGCGTGTTTTGTTTAGGCCTAACACGATGTGATGTTTTGTATCCTAACCAATAACATTTTTTCATCGCGGTTATAGAGTGCAATTTAGTTAATGCAATTCTGAAAATGAACATGCACTTATTTTACTAAAATTGGAAATTATTGCCTAAGCGTTTTAGGGACAATCACTGCGAGTGAAAAGACCAGAGTTAGCAGTACGCAAACAAGAGGCACAACATACAGCATTTAAGGACTGATCACTACTCCAAAATGTGTTAGTGATAACAAGACATAAATGCAAACCCTTTTTAGGAGAGAAATCAATGGCTAAGAATAGTAAGGTACGTTGTTGGGCTAGTTGGTTCATCTTAGTAAAACATATAAAATAGTGCAACAGAAAACAAGGACAAGAAGTATACAGGACAGGCGACAGCGCCTGTCCTGTATACTTCTTGTCCTTGTTTTCTGTTGCGCTATTTTATATGTTTTACTAAAGCTAAGAATAGCTTAGCATTAATTGCTTAACTTGAAATATTGCAGCATAAACGTAATAGAAAAAAAAGCATTAAAACAAATTAAAGTGATACAAATAACGTCTATTTGCCATATTACGGCCAAAATCATACAATGCTGTCAAACTTTCAAGAAATACAACAAAAATGCTCAGGCGAACGCATGACGTGTTTCGAATAGACATAGTCCGCTGATGCGACATTCTACATGGAACTAGTCTGTAGCTGATCTGTTTGCAGAGTCCTTATTTCTGAGTACCACAACTTCTGCCTGATGACGTCGGAACCATTCGTGGCATGCTGTTGCTTTGCCGGATGCAGGTGGTGGCACAGGATTATATCTCTGTACGAAACACGACGGTTTTTTCGTATTGCGCTCTCCAGCCCGACAGTTGGGGCACAGTCGCAACAACGGCGATCGCGCTCACTGGTACTTTTTGCCGCGGCTTTTATGACTAACCGACAGGATAGCGACATTCCACCGCATGACACACAGGCTCTTGTAACTTCATCTGTCCCCCACGCCCACATACTCACGCCGAGACCCCTTCATAGTCCTCCACGTGTAGGGGCAGTACAGGACTAGTGCTGAAGATGGTGAAGTATGTCGTGCCAAAAACGTTCAAAGCCCGGGATGAATTCCGGCGGAAAAAACGGAGCACATTTTATTTTTAAAAATATGATTCTTCATGCTTGCTTGTTGTAGGGATTTGCCAGCGAAGATGCAGCTATTAATACACTAGATGATTAAGACGCAGCGAAGATCACCTTACCAGACTGGACAGAACATGGCACCCAGCCACTCTGTATCCAGTTTACTTCTTAATTCGAAGATCATGCACAAAAAGTCACTTGTACTTCTAGAGCACTCTCAGAAATACTATGCGGTCTGTGTGAGAGAAATCGAAACCCAATTTTTTCGGGCCGCATAAATCAACTGCGCAATGCACAAAGTTATCTCCGTCAAAATATTTCTCTAGCAGTCGGAATAGGATGTCAACATTCGAGAATATGCTGCTCTTTGGATCAAAAGGCAAAGCATAAAGAAAAATCGTCTCCATGAGCCCAGGTTCCCATACTCCTAATATTTGTCAAACAAAACCAAAAAATGCCAATATGGGCACCCGCGAAGTTTATTTTAGTAGAAAAAGCTCCAGAGCAAGAAAAAAAGCCAACATTGTTTCTCTTGCTGAGACGTGTTTTCACTAAAATATTTGCACGGTCTGTCACAGTTATTTCTTGGTTTGTCAGAATTCGTAGTTTATGTAGACCTGGACTCAAAGAGCAAAACAAAAAATAGATATTTTAATTGTAATCCAATGTTCTCAAACTTTGTTCAGGTATTCCCCCCAAAAAAACCTGAAGGAGTTCCAGCGTTCTGCATTTTGTAGAAAATTATGCAGACTGAAAAACCTCGCTTCCTTTTTTCTCACCGGCCTGTAACTTTTTCTTGCTCGTCAAACCTACGTTTCAGACATTTGAAGAACGTTTTTCTGCTCTCAAAGACGGTCGTCAGTGACCTACCTGCAATTAGGAAGCGCCTGGCAAGCTCGTTATTGGCGGCTAAATTACACTCTCGGCTGGTTGGCGCAAGGTAAGACCTTTGAAAACTTCTGTATGCTTTCTTGATCACAATAACTTCCTGGTGAAACATTTGCTCAAGAAATATTCATGACACCGTCGCATGATTGATGTTGCAGAGCCGCAAATAAAAATTACCAATTATTGGTGGCCACCCTTGCTTGTAATAAAATGTTACTCACAAAGCAAAGATCCAGCGTATTTCAGAAAAAATAAATACTACGACACCAAAGGTGTATTGATATAAATCGCTCGGTTGAAAATAGGTATCCACCCTGTAAAACAAAACAAAAAAATTACCGTAAAACCTTTTTTTGCCGTAAAAACCTAGCCATATATACCACTTAAAAGATACTGCCGTGATGTGTCTATGCTTATAGAGTGGGAAGTCAGTCAACTTCGATGGGCCTCTAGTGTGTCCGCTGTAGATGTGAAATTTAGCCATTCCAGCACCACCGCTTGCCTGGGGCTCTTAACGTGCATCACGCAGTAGGGATACACGACCCCACGCCTGTCGATGCTCAACCAGAATGGAACTGGCGGGGGAACAAAATATGTTCCTAAACTTCGAAGATACCTTATAAAATTCCGTAATGATAGTAACCACCCATTTCAAGGTATCATAATGGTAGTCTCATCTTGTACGAACTTAACAGTGGCCCTCCCTCAAACCTTACATTGGTAACCGAGCATTGTGTTCCTAAAGAGCCGGGTTTTCGTGGCATGAAAATTACTTCTTTTCGTGCCGCTTTCTATTACCAAAATATCAATCGAAACCTTATACCTGAAGCTGCCAAGTTAAAAACATTTTTTTTTTCAAGTTTTTTACACTAAAAATAAAAATAGGTAAACCTGACGCGGTCAATAACGTAATGGTTGTTCGTTCTTTATATATATTTCAGAGATGTAAACTAAAATACGTGTCAGAAATTTCTTCTTCTAAAGCTTGTGTTAATTATTTTAATAAATTTTTAAACCACTCGTTTAATTGTACCTCAAACTTCAAGACTTTTCCTTTTAAGTTGGGTATTGTGTTTTCGGTAAATATCGATAAACCCCCCAAAAGAATTCATTAGCTTGTTTCATGAAAACGTTGAAAAAAAATTAAAACCGTTCACAACTCCCTGTAACGCCGAATTAGGGCGCAGCTCTTGAGGAGGAGGGGAAGGGTACTGAAAGGGGAGGAAGGATCACCTCCTCATCCTCTCTGCTACTCCTCCCTCCGAGCGGCGTCGGCGTCGCCTCACGAGGGTCACGTCACCTCACAAGGGTCACGTGACGTCACCGAGGTCACGTGACCTCACGGGTTCACGTGACCCCTACGTGGTCACGTGACGAAGACGATGACGTCATCTATGACGTTACTGATGACGTCATCAGGGACGATGTCGATGACGATGACGTCATCAGTGACGATGCCAATGACGTCACGCGTTTCATGCACCGCGCGGTTGCGCCGACGGCGACAGCGGCGCCGCTCAAGCCGGAAACGGGCGCCTAAGAGCTGCGCTCTAAAAAACAAAAAAAAACCTTAATTCGTTAAAAAAAAAAGAAACCAAGCTTCACAAAACAAAAACAGACATGTATCTGCTTTCTTTTTTCTTGTTTTGCACAGGAACACAGCAGCTGCTGTGTTCCTGTGAAACCTATTGAGCACTGAACTCCCCGACAGGGTGCTTCTGCTTAGATAACCGCACCCATTACCTCGTTTCTTCGTGCTATGGGTTTTTCGGTGTTCGAAAATTGACACCGAAAAACATTGAATATGGGAGAGAAAAACAACACCAATGGAATCCGGGACAAAGGCCCACCGACCAAAAGCTCACCGGACAGAACCCCACTGCACAAAAGCTCACCGGACAAACGCTCACCAGGAGAAAATTTCATGTTGGTCTTATTTAACTCGAGCGCGGACAACATAGGTGCATGCGTGCGACACTAAAATGCAACGATAAATAAAATATGACGCGCACATGGCTTGTTGATTGGAGTGTAAACAGTTTTTTTTATTGACTGGTCAGGAGCAAAGGGAGTCCCCTACTTCCTCCAGCAGTCTTGGTAGATCTAAGTGTTTTCAGGAATACCTTGAGTGAAAGGGGGGGGGGGGGGGGGGGGGGCAAACGCCGAAAAAATAGTGAGGGACAAGAAGCTGACGTGAACTTCTTTCCCTGACTATTTTTTCGCGCTTGTCTATGATCGCGAAACAACTGGCACAAATTGCCACATTAATAACTTGAGTCTACCAGCTCCACTCAATTCCGGTGACCTACATTTTGGTCCCAAATCGACGCTTCTGGGCCTCTTACGGCTTATCTGTCGACTCCGTTTTATGGGATTGGGTACCAGTTCTCCTAAAAATGGTGCAATGTTCATCGCGTCTGCACTTTTAGCGCATTCCGTGTTTTGGTTGGGCTGCAAGAAAAAAAAAAGAAAAGAAAAAAAGAGATGAGCTTTTGTGCGGGTTTGTGAAGAAAACAGGTGAGCTTTTGTGCGAAAAGCATTTGTCCCGTGAGCTTTTGTCCCGTGAAATTTTTTCGTGTTTCCCCCAATAAAACCCAATAACCAAAAAAAAAACAAAAAAACACGGAACTCTATTTGTAAGGTTGCACAAGCGAGACGTCAGTTATCTCTTGAAGTCGATCGTGACGCTGGTTCAGCTTTGTAAAGGAGCAATCAAGCCATATTGAGAAGGGTTGCTAACCTGGGGTCTTTAACCATCATCACGGATTAGTAGTCCCACACTCAGAAGCCCGTGCGAAGCCCATTAATTTCCAAATGGGGCAGTGTGAGCGCCTTTGGTTCCTGATAGCTATTGATGCATTTCTTGTCAGCTGCAGTGCGCTAACAAGCTGTTTCTGTTTCTTTAGCCAAGGAACTTCAAACCGGACCCCTTTCGTCATGGCCGTACTTCGCGTTCTCGGGATAGACATTTTCTGGGTGATGGTGGTGACCTTCGCCTACTACGGCTGCCTCATTGCCAGGATACCCATTTTGGAGTAAGTTGCCAAAATTGTGGATCACACTTGACGTAGTGCTGCGGTGTTCGTACCAAACTTGCGCTGATATAAGAGAAAAACAACTTATAATTTCGGTTTGGGTTTTGATTATTTGGTTTGAAAGAGTACTTCTGACGTAAACTTTTATTTATATAAATTTTTATTTTATCAGAGCATCGCCTTACATAGCAGTATAGGAAATGAGCGGACATAACTCAAGCCCCGAACGCGGGGCCCCCAGACCCAAACAAATCATTTTCATTCGAACGTTCTTTTTAGCCGCTGCATCCAGATGACGTTCCCTTAAGTTTCGCGCCATGCCAAAAAACACCGAGCTGGTAAGAACCTTAATTCCCGTCGTAATATTGACGTGCACACCCTGTCCGCGCTACTTGTCACAATTGCTTCCCGACGAGTAGGCAGCGACAACCGCAAGGTTGTCAAGAGCAATCGCAGAGGCTGCATCAAGGCCCTGTTACACGGAGGCAACACGAAGGCAACAGCAACACAACAGGTTGTCCAACAGTCGGACAACTTGTTGCTCGTTCCACATGTAGTCCGACAAGCCTGTCACATCGCGGCAGCAGCAGGGCATGGACGACAACTAAAATGTTGCCTCACTATGATCGCTGGCTGAGCGAATTTCGGGCCGGCAACTGGAAAACGTAGATAACTTTGATAGTACAGCTAGTTCCCTATCAATAATGTCTTACTCAAATAAAAGCTTGGAAAACGTTATTTAACAATAATTAGGGCTGGCGCGCAGCTAAAATATTTTTGATTGATGTTTCTACTGCGTAGTTACGGAAAGCGATTGTCGAAATGGTCACAGCTACGGTCGTGAACGTTCAGACTGGTTTTGAAATTAGAATTGCCGACAGACAAAATCACATTACTGATAGTGAAATAAAATGGCATGCCTATACTTAACCGCTCATAAAGTACAATAAAAATAATCGAGAAAAGCAAAGATTAGAAAATCGAAGCATAAAACGACCACTCTGATCATGATTCTTGATGCTTGAAACTCGGAAACAGCTGCTCCCAGACACCTGATTTGTTCTATAAAATACCAAGGACGTTTTGGCGAATGAAGCGATCACATAGCAGGCGGTAGGCAAATAGACAGCGTTGAAAAATATTCATTCCACGGATTTTATGAAGGCCGATCGTGTTGGTGTCGCAGTTTTGAAGGACTGTCAGTTAAGCTCAACACCACGCTAAAAAATACGCTTTGGGGTACTGCCGGTGCTAACTGAATTTTACAGTAGAAATAGGGATTCCATGAAAGAAAGAACCGGGCAGAAACACTTCATACGGTGGCGTAAATCCCGATGTCACTTTCCTCGGTTAAGGCTATCTGCTTTGTGAACAAAGAACATTTTGATAAAATGAAGAGCGGAATACACTTTCCGTGTCAAGTTTTCCAATCACAATCCCTAATTAATGTCGTAACATGGTAATTTCCGTCCCTTCGAACGCACCAGCACTTTGTAAAGTCACATTTCCAGCGACTCCTCGCCGCACGCGAACAAAGATAAACAATCAAGATGACGGATTGTTCCCCGTGTTGTCTCCGTCGTCAGCGTGGTGTGACAAGGCACTGGGCAGGGTTGTCGGACAACAAATCAGGCAACACGGTTGCCGGGTGGCAGCAACATGTTACCCCACTGTTGTTGTTGCCGCGATATGACAGGGTAAGCGGAAACACGATTTTCTCGTGTTGCCAGATAAAGTTATCCAACTGTCGCCTAAATGTGACGGGGTCTTTACAGAGAATTTCCAACTGCTTGATAGGGGTCAGGTGGTTTTTGAGCCGCGTTTGCAATACGAGCTACAAGTGACGAACGCGTTGGTTGTCCTGAGGGCGTCTCCGCCTTTCCGCCTGCTTTCCTCGTAGCCACACGATAACGCAGCGCATGCGCACTTGCGACCAATCTGCGATGGAGACGTCCTCCAATAAACTGCAAACGCTACCCGTAGTTTGAGCTGGACCATCTCTGCAATCTGTACTTTCTGCGAACAACAGGCGACAGAGGCCAAGCTGCTGGCGTGCACCTTTCCCATACTACGTTGACCCTTAAAAAGGCACTGACAGGCCAAATTCATATTTTTATTATCCGTTACGATTGAAAGCGATGACTGGACATTATCCCGAAAATTCGAAAATTGGGAGCTCAGTATTTTTAAGTAAAAATCAATTTGCAAAATCCGTATTTGAAGCTCCGGCGGGATCCGCATCAGTGCAGTGACTTACGTCAAAGATTGAGTCGTCCTGAATTTCCCGTTCCTCTCACGCATCCGTGTCGTGTTCGTCGGCGTCTCGAGATCAACCGCTCCGTGCGTGCCGCCTATCGCTATGAGCAGACGACCCGCACTTCCGAGTTAGGGCTCTTTCAGCGATCTCGAATTCTTTGAAACAATGTTAGGCCACAGAGAACGCTCAGTGGACATTTGGAAGCGACGTGAAAGGCGGTTCTGCGTGAAAGGTTGCCCTGGCGGAGACAGAACCAAAACTACAATACACAGACGCCAAACCCAGTTGTTTTGACGGTTGGACGATTTTTTCTTCAAAGTCTGAGAGGTCGCCGGGCACCTACATAAGACCACTTAGTCCAATTACCCGACTCACCGATTATCCTTAATATTACATGCTTCGACCGCTACTATGTTTTCCGAGAGAGGATGAAGAGCCGGGAGGCGACATTACTCCGGACAACAATTTTCGTTAATTCAAAAAGAAGGCCCGTAGTGCGATCGCAATTGCGTCTGAAAACATGTTTTCCGAATGCCGTTATTAAATATTAGAGGAATGTCACTTAAAAAGCGTCTAAATTTCATAATTGTTTACGTCACCAATAAAAGCATGTAAAAAGATAAAAAACAAGAGAAAAAAAAAAAAAAAAGCGCGCACGCGCGTGGAAGAAAAAAGTATCTATATATCTATATTTTTTTCTTGCGTGTCTTTGAGTGTAATTTGCATCGTTTTTGACAACAAAACCAGGACGACCTCTGGGGTGTCACTATACCTCTCAACTGAGACTTTAGCCAGTGTCACAAGCACGAAGGCTCGAGGTGCCTAATTCGAAGCATTCTTCCGGAGAACGTGAGCTTGCGCTCGAAATACATGTCTCAAATCCATGAACGCGAGCTAGCTTGTACTTGTAGCTTTGGCTGCAGTCTCCACTTAAGGGTGAAAGAAGTATATGAAATATGTTTTCGTTTGTTATATTTATATTTATTCATATAACTGTATGAGAGCTTCGATAGTACGGCGCTTTCTTGACGCAACGATGTTGGCATGAGATTAGGACTGAGCGAGCTATGCGGAAACGGGTGAACTTATTTAGCTTTCCCTTTTACTGTTTCTTGTGATTCGTTTGTTTCCCGGGATCCCTTTGAGGTAGCTCTTCTGCTTTTGATGAACTTATGACACTGACATGCGCTTTACAGTTTGCCCAGAAACGTTTTGATAGCGAGTCTCCATTATGCTGAAGCGCTGTTACCAATGTACTTTTCTTTTAAGTTGAGCACGAAGTACTTGACTTATAGACTTCCCTATTTTGAATCATAATAAGTGATCCATCTTCTATATTCACAACGCGAAAAACGCAGAGAAAGAGTGCAGGCTGTGGTAGCGACATATTCTAGATCTAAATTCTTTACAGTCTCGATTATTTTTAAGACGTAAAAGGGAACGGTTTTGTGCCACAAGCGAGGCCCCTTTTTAATGACCCGCAGGGAGTTCATGAAAAACGTTTTACTAAACTACAATCCCGCAATTTATTTTGGAGAAATTTACTGGCGCACTTAACTTTGCTCGGTTGGCTCTTCTCTATCCAGTGGGACGATAGTGCGGGTTGTGAAGCCTTCCCTCTCCTATCTTTATTTCTTCCGTGACAAAAAGAAAACCGAAAATGAAAAAACCCTCTCAAAATAGAGGTTCTAAACTCTGCAGTTTCCTTTGTGGTAGCTCTTTGAGTTACCACCGACTTTACGCGTTCGGTTGATTGAGCCTTGAACTTGCGATTTTCACCGTGTGTCTTCGAACCTTCTTTCCCGGCTTCCTGTTTGGACCACCAGTCGGTGTGAACATCTGATTCGCCCAAGAAGGCTGACGCGTAAACCTGCCGGCACAGCTCTCTTTTCTAGCCGCCACGTCCCATCACTTTCTCTAGGGTCACCAACTCTCGTGGACAACTTTCTGTGGCATTTCAAAAGTACTGAAAAGCGCGTCCATAGCCTTGATCTGCTTTCATTGAGCACGAGCAGCCGTGCGACCCTAGCTTTGACTGCCTATGCAAAAAAAAAAAGTTGCTCATAAGTATATTGCAGTTGAGAGCTATCACACTCAAGATTTATTTCCTGCTATTTTGGTTGAAGTTCATTTGAGTACTTTTGTCATTGGCAGCATAACATTGATGTCAGGGATCAGTAAACCCTCTTTCTTTTTCTGCAGAGACCTCATAAGCGGTAGCACCAGTTCGCAGATGGGCACTCTGTCTGTTCTTTTTATGGCAACCTGTGTTGGAGAAACACTTCTATCGTGCTACCAGACGCATCTGTGTATGCGTCTTGGAGAACAATTGCGATCACTGCTCCAGGCTTCAATGTTCCAAAAGGTTGGAGGTTCACTTGACTTCGTTTCGCGTCTTATTTTTTAACATAGTTTTCGTTTTCTTTGCTATCTCTTTTGTATTGATAAAAATCTAATTTAAGATATAAATAGTTTAGAATTGTGTTTGATTTTGAGGGATGAAACATTGCACGGAATGTTACTTCCTCCGATGTTCTGTGACCGGAATCAGAAAGACCTATGTTCATCCGTGAAATGCATGTGTTGTAGACTACCATCCTGAGTTGCTAAAGTTTTAAGACATATGTGGGGCCTAAGCTATTACGCAGACCAAGCCCAGACAGCACGTCGTGGAAATGCCTAACTTGAGCCAAGCCTGGCAAACGGAAGGGCCTATCTGGGGCATAAGGGTTTGCTCCAATGCGCTAATTAATAGCAAGTTATATTTTGCTTGATTTGTCTATGGCTTTTCGCTAGCTTAGTTCGCCACATAATTGCAGATGTGCCAGATGGGCAGAAAATATGACGCATCATCCAAACAACAGTCGGTTAAGCCCAAATCTGGCTTTTGAGTGGCAATGTTTGACCGAAGTTTCCAGCTGACCACAAAAAAAAAAGGAGCATAATTTTTTGCATTTACTTCAGAACATGGCTCTAAATCCAGGTGACAACGAGAAAACCAGGCTGTAAAGCATAACTATCAAACTCATTTGGCAATTTATGGCTGAGATAGCCAAACTCAGGGGAGATAATATAAATTTAGGTTCCACCTTGGCATTCGTGGTTTTTCAAGACCTTGACATTCATGGTTTTCAAACCCAAACTTTGTTCAAAAGAACGGTTCTACTAAAGAGGTTGCTTATAGAAGATGGCATATCTTATCAGTCAACCTTAGTTTTTTAATGTACTTTTTGTTAAGCCTTCACATCTCCTAAAGGAAACATATGTCTGCGTCCATGTATCCCTCCAGATTACTCGACTGTCGCCGACCTCACGGGCCGAGTTTCCTGTAGGACAGGTATTGTCCATGATTGGCGTGGATACTATGATGGTTTCCTTCGGCATCATACAGATTCCTATGCCCCTCGCCGGAATCATCTGCTCGCCACTCATATTCTTCATGCTCTCGGTGCGTGTGGGAGTTGGACCCACCGTTTCGTGCGCCACCTGGCTCCTTTTCGTCCTCCTGTTGCTCTTTCCAACATCAAGGATACAAAACGCACAGTGGGTAAGCAACACGGCACAAATAAAGCCAGCTGAGCGTTTCCACAAAAAAAAAAATACACCAGTCGATTTGGTGATTACGTGAATCCCTAGTGTTACCGGAACGAGAAAAAAGACAACATATCGTGAACTGAACCGCAATGCGTGGTGAACAATCACTCCCCCCACTGACCAACAGCAGTCCCACGCTTCATGGCTCAACTGTCACAATCACCGTGTAAACTGGCAGCAGCCCTAGTCTGGGAATCACCGGTTAAAGTCTGGCAAATTTCACCCTAAATTAAAATAGGCAAACAGGAACATGTAAAAAAAAAGAAAAACAGTCAGGTTTTGGTCTCGTTAAGGGGCGAAGATTACGTCTTCAGATATTAATAACATGCTCATCCATAAAATTTTAGTATATTTAGCGTCTTCTTTCCTTCTAGTACCCTTCTAGTGCTGAAGTGCAAGGTGATGTCACCACCAGCATACAAATTAGGCTGCGCTGTGTAGGATTGTATCATATACTGGTGTCCCTAGTGAAAAAAAAAAAAGAAACATTTGTATGAGAAATTTTTTTGTGTCAAATAAACGCATAAGTATCATACGAGATATGTAAGAACATATAAGAAGAATTTAAGATATATTAGAACATATGAGCACCATATCAGAAACTTATAGGAAACTTCTCACAAGTTTCTTACATGGTTCTTAAATGTTCCTATATAACTTATATAGCTCTTATATAGTTGTTATATGGATGTTATTTGGTTCGGATATGTTCTTGTATATCTTATATGATTTATATCCGTTTATTGGGCGCAGAAATTTCTCATGAAAATTAGATTTTTCAAAAGGGATAGTGATACGTAATGCGTGGCCAATGAAGCCCCGTAACGCGGTCCAGCTGTTAGGACTCAGAATATTCGCTAGCTGGCGCAGTGGGGCCAAATTATTTATACACATCGTACTTGTGCCATTAAGGTATAGTTCTACTTTGATTTACAAGTTTCTAAAGTTTTGGCTAGCTTCGAGCGTTCTCAAATATATTACAACCGCGTCTGGGGCGTTCGGAATACGCACGACGTGGCAGCGGCCATAACGATGGCCAAGGTGGCGAGGGGTGGATGCTGAGCGCTGTTGCTGCCGTCGTGCGGATCTCTCGTCGTTATTTTTTTCTGGCGAAGGTGACACGATTAAGGCGCAATCACGTGGAGAGTGTTTCATTTGTCTCTTGGTCGTCAGCTGCGTCGCCGAAAAGCTCTTTTTTGTTTCTCATAAATTCAAGCCAGATGACGCTAGAGACACCACCGTGACGTTTTAAACGACACTTTCACTTCGGTTAAAGCAGGGGTCTCCAAAATCCCAAAATGCGGACCACTTCCGGCCCGCGAATGTCTTCCATCCGGCCCGCGGCAGGCCGCAGTCTTTCTATTGATGCCCACCCCGCGGCCCGCTTCCAGCTGACCCGCTGATAGCGGTGCAAAAGAGCACGTATTCACAACGGTGCCGCGACGCGCCTCAAATGCGCAGACGAAGATACCAGCGAGAACGAGATAAAATGCCACATAATACAAGTCAGCTCGCTATATTATTGATTAAGCATTGTCATCACCAGCAGTATCATTCTTAGCTCGTTGTTTCATGTATGTGTAAATTATACAGGGTGTTTCAAAGAACGCAGGCCAAATCGCTCCTGCGAAAACTACTTATCACAACGAAAAAATGGCTTGTTGCGTTTTGGTCCTGGGCAGACTTGGACGTATAGTTCAACTACTCTACACAAACTACTGTAGTTTAACTACTTTTCCGAAGTAACTTGGTAACTTTAAATTACAACTTGATTTGGGTGATTAGTACTTTTACTTAACTCCTTTTTCCAAGTAACTTCTACTCAAATTACTAGCTACTTTCTATATCTAGTGCTAATTTTTCTCATCACGAAAGTTTGAGCGCAGAAATAAATAAGATGCCGACAGATGAAGTTGCCTTCCCGAACAAAGGGCCCCCTCACATTCCGTTCCCACGCACTTATACTCGGCAGCCGTAGAAACTGCATCACAGGCGTCCTTGGGGCAAGGTGGCGACGAGCAGCCAAAACATAACACCGGCGCGCACGAACGCAGAAAGAGATGCTCAACAAGCCCTGGAGTCTGGACGGGTATTGACCTAATCCGGTAATGCATGTAGGTTCCGCGCCTCCGGCCATGAAAGACGGGGACACTCCGAGGGTTTTTATTTTCATGTTGTCTGCCTTTAGTGAGTTCTGCCTCAAGTGGTTTGGGGGTTCCACGGGAGATGCCGCTAAAATGACCGCGCAGCTGGGCGCCTGTTCCCATGGTCGCCTCGTCGTCAGTGCATACGCCTTTGCAAAGCCGGACTCGACCGCGCACTAACTCAGACACGGATGATCCGTTCATGGGAGCACGTTCCCTCTTCCAGCTGCAACTGTACGAGCGACGATGCTTGTTCACGTAATCCTTCGCGTTCTTCCGAAATTCTATGCCAGAGAGACCGCCTCTTTGTTGAAAACGATTTACTTGTCGGGTGAGTCAGGCGCGTCAGGATACCACAGTCGTCGGCGAGGATTGTGAGTTGTCCTTGGGAGAACCTTTTGTTGGACCCGGCGTCAGCGGCGAAGTATTCTTCGGTTCCTCTTCTGTTAAACCAAAACAATTTTTTTTTCAGTAGCGTTGCGCTAGCATTGCAACGAGATGCGCAGTCGTCCGGATGATCTCATCGTCGTGGCGCGAGATTTGAACCCTTGACGGTAAGGTGCACTCGCTCAGCGTACTCTCAGAACGTCAAAAAAATAAAGAGGGGCCAGTCATAACAAGCTCAACTTGCCGGAAAAAAAAAAGAGACAAGGAGGAGAGTTTGTTATTACTTTTTATGCCGTATATAAACCTATTGTAAGTCAAATTCTTGAATTATTTCCCCTAACGAGGTAGCGACAACCAGAAATGAATACTCCGATAAAACAGCATACGCACTAAATAATAATAGCTCACGGGTTTCTAGTGTTTTCAGAAATTTTACATCTACCATCTAATTTTTTAAGCGCAAGATTGTGCAAGCTCGGGACGAGAGGCTCAAGCGCATGACGGACATTCTGTCTACGGTGAGATTGGTGAAGATGTACGCATGGGAAGAGGCCTACATGAAGGCTATGAAAGAAGTCCGCGAAAAAGAAATGACTTCCATATTCCGTGTCAACTTGCTGGATGGCCTCCTCGATTCCTTGTACAGCGCATCGAGCTCTGTGGTATGTAAACACAGCCTCGACTTCTTTACCATGCTCATTACGTGGAATCAAAGTACTTCTAACTCGCTCCTTTAAACTCTCTCAGAAGCTCTTGGGTCTTAAATGCCCCGACATGCACTCACACAACTATCAGTGGTCGTTATTTACCCAAGTTAGTTAACGAGAAAGCTGAGCAAAGCATGCTTTTCGGCCTGATTTTCCCGGTCTTCTGCCATATTTCCCCAGTTACAACGTCGCCTCCCCGGGCAGCACAAGTAGTGGTGCCCTAGAGTGACCCACTTGGGAAAAATGGGCTTGGGCAGCCCCTGCAATACCCCTGTGGGTTTCACATCGATTCAACGTGGCCATGCTCGATTCGGGCTGCGCATGCAATACCCCCGTGGGTCTAATCTCTGTTATGCCAGCGCAAACTTAGCGTAGATGGGGTGAAAGTGAGGACACGCCTAATTGGGCCGCCGACGCAGTACCCCCGAGGGTGCCACTTCGGCTACGCGTGGGTACTCCCAACTTAAGCTACCTACGCAATGCCACCTCGGGTCCCACCTCGGCTATACGGGCGCACATTTACCATAAATATTTGCTCTACACAGGCTCTTCATTGGCACACCCAACCTCGGCTGCACTTTTAATGGCCCCGTGGGTCCCACATCGATTATGCGGAGCAGAGTTAGCACAGAGTTCGGCTAAGCGGGGCCTGCGTGGGCATGCCCAACCTGGGCTGCCTGCGTTATGCGCCCGTGGGTCCCCCCTCGGATATGGGGGCGCACATCCGGCACAAAAGTGAGATCAACGGGGGCACCGCGTGGGCTCGCCCAACTTGAGCTGCCCCCGCAATACTCCGGTGGGTCCAACCTGCCACGCGGGGGATGAGCCAACACAAAGGTGGGCTCCAGGGGTTCACTGCGTGGGCATGCCGAACTTGGTCTGCCCGAGAAATTCACCCGTGGGTCCCACCTCGGCTATCGGGGCGCATATCCGGCACAAAGGTGGGATCCACGAGGGCACCGCGTGGGAGTGCCCAACTTGAGCTTCCCGCTCAACGCCCAGGTGGGTCCAACCCCGGCCACGAGGGGAATGAGCTAACACAGAACTGGGCTCTAGAATTCATCGGGTGGGCATGCCCAACTTGGGCTTTCAGCTCAATGCACCTGTGGGCCCCACTCAGCAATATGGGCGCACATCTGGCACAAAGGTGGAATCCGCGGGGGCGCCACGTGGGCGTGCCCAAAGTGAACTGCTTGCGCAATGCCCCGGTGGTCCAGCCTCGGCTACACGGGGGCTGAGGTAACACAGAGGTGGGCTCCAGGGGTTCACCGCATGGGCATGCCCAAGTTGGGCTTCCCACGCATTGCCCCGGTGGGTCCAACCTCGGCTACGCGGGAGCTGAGTTAAATCAGAGGTGGCTCCAGGGGTTAACCTTGTGCGCATGCACAACTTCGGCTGCCCACCTAATGCACCCTTGAGTCCCATGTCGGCTATACGGAGAGTTCGCAAAGAGTCCGTAATGCCTCCCTGGGTTCCACCCTGCTATTCGGTGGCAGAATTATCACAGGGGTGGGCTCCACGTGGACCCCCCGTAGACACTTTCAACTTGGGCAGCCGAGCAATGCACGTGTCATTTTCACCTCGTCTATACTGGGACAGAGTTTCACATGGGTGGGCTCCACCAGAGCACCGCGTGGTCAGGCCCAATTCGTGCTTCCCTTGCAACGCCCACATGAGCCCTACCTCGGTTACGTGGGGGCAGGTTAGGACAACTGTAGGCTACAATGAGCACCTCACGGGCATGCCCAACTTGGGCTGCCCGCGCAAAGCCCCGTGGGGATGTAGCTCTCATCTAGGTCCCCCGATGGGCGTCCAAGGTACGCTCCTCAAGTGGGTCCCAGTCCCACGCGGGCCCGACTTGCAAAACCGACATTGGACGCAAGTGTGCTGCCCAAGTGGGACCCACGTGGACCCACACTTTTGAGCCCGCTTTGTGCTACTTGTGTCGTGCGGCAAAAAAGTGTGACGGGAGCTACAGTGCCGTGCCCAACGCCACGCCAGCAAAATCCCAAGCAAAATGGCCCCGTTTTGATCAGGTTTAGCAGCCATTCATTCTCAATGGCAATTACATGCGCGTTATTTTAGGCCCCGGAGACCCTATTACTATTTGTGCATAATACCAAAATGCTCCTCTTTTTAGCTAAGCTGATTGAAGGAAGAGCAGTGATGGTGCCTTGAGAGTAACATGGTACAGTAAGAATGTTCTAATTTTGAAACATGTAAGAGACAGCCGAATGATGGTTGTGAGTGACATTCTTTCTATAGATGAAAGAGAGAATTACAGGCAGATTGAGGGCGACATTAACCGCAAGTATCACTGCTGCACAGTGCGCACTGGATCTGGTATGCTCTCGTATTCTTGCCCAACCTTGTTCTCTACACTTTCAGTATGTTTAATGGGCCACATTACCTCCTCGGTGTACGTTGCCGTTTCAGTTCTTCAGACTAAACTCCGGTTATATTTTTAGAAACTCACAGAACAGAGAAGATTACCATGTGCTATGACGTCATATCGATCAGCTCTGATTGTAAGGGTTAGTAAGTCGACACAAATACCTTTTTTGTCTCTCCGCTGTCTCCCCTCATTAAATCGAACAAGAGTGCCGTCCGCTCCTCGTGCAGGATCTGGCGGTGGAACGCCAAAGGCCGGATTCCGGTATTTGAATACCAGACACTGGCCGGACACCAGACGAACTTCGCTCTGACGCGAATGAGATAGGGGGTAGGGACAAAGGCAGCTACCCTTTCCGTCTACCCACTAATCCTTCCAATCAGCGCTCAGCGCTCGAACGTCATGCTCTGGTCTCCTCCACTCCCTTGTTTTTTCTTCGAATTATTTTTGCTAGCCGCTAATTTAGGATATAACTGTTGCAGTGAGGGAAACGAAGTCAGAATAGTGTCGAGGGCACAATTTAACGATAACTAGAATGTGACACTCATTTGATTTGAACATGTTGTGCGACAGCTTCCTTTCTGGTCATTGCGCCAGAAGAATAAAAATACGAAACTCTAAGTAAATTTTCAAGTATTTGACATCTGTCTTAGACATTCCGTGTTAGAATCGGTGACTTAAGCACTGTAGCATTATCGATTATTTTTTTAGATTTTGGCTAACGGCATGTTATTGACCGCTATACCAAGAAAGACTAATACCTTTCAGGTTAAACAAGTCGAGCTATACTTTTGATAACATACTTCCCTACAGATGACCATCATACTTTTCGGAACCTCTGCCGTTATGAACCCAAAACTAATCCTCAATCCTGAGATCTCCTTCCCCTGCGTTTACATGCTGTCCATGACGGACATGATTACAAACCCGGCTTCCTTGGGTCTAAGGATGATCAGTTTGGTAAGCCTACTAATTATATGAAACTTTTGCATGGCACTCTATCACCCTGGAGATGACACGCTTTTGAAGGGGGGGGGGAGGTGTTGAGTTGATATCAGTTGGACCCTCGCGCCACCGAGCAATGATAGGTAAACTTCGGAGCCCGTATGGATATTCCAGATGCGCAGACGAATAAATGTATACCAATGGAGAAGAAATAATAAAAGTGCAGAAGAAAAGTGATGCGATTCAAGGTATGCGCAGCAGAATAATTGCGTCACCTCATCATGTATTGTGTCCGCTGCACCGCAAATATTTGAATTTTTAAAACAGCGACTGTTAAACTCATATAATACTCAGAATTACATACATAAACTAGTTTTGTTGTCTTTCTTGTGCGTAATAAATATTTTTGATATATTAAGATATATAATCTTGGCGGCATGTCCAGTTGGTTTGCTATGCCAACTATGCCTAGCGTTTTGTGATTTAGGTACCTGCCATCGTACTTACGAAGGTTCTGAAACGCGACTAACAATATAAATAAAACAAACCAAGCTAACTGTCGGGGACGGAATCTGAAATAAGATATCAAATGACCAACGTTCCAATAACAGCCCTGAATATATTATTTCTTCTTGTTTTATTATTTATTTCTGTGTTAATTACCCCCTTTCCGCCTCCACCTTACTTTTTCTTCTTAAAGTATTTCACCAACCTCGGAATTCAAAACGTTATAACCAACCTACTAAAGTCCAGAGTATTTACTTATTTATTTATTTATTTATTTATGAATTTTTTTTTAGTTAGGCATCAGGGCCCGCAGGCATTGAAAAGAGGTACGTTTACAATGTTCAAAAAATACAAGACAAAAAAAACAAAAAAACATGAAACATGCCGTAGCACTCTAGTTACAAAAGTTCTGAAGTTAAAAGGATTAAGAATTGGGATGATAATTGTTGGAAGTTGACTCCGGTCAGAAGACGTTCGAGGTACGAATGATTTGAAGTAGGTAATGGTTCGAAACTCTGAAATGCCGACTTTATGTGCCTGACTGCTGCGTGGGGATATGTCGAATGACTCCAAAAGAGGTTGCGATTTCGTAACTTGACTGTGAGAAAAAGATTTTCTTAAACAAACATAAACGAGACCCTTTCAACCTAAACAAAGGTTAGGCAAAGACAAGCTATTTTTTTTCTAGAGGAGACATTGTGTATACGATATAAATTAGAAAGAATAAATTCCACATACCTATTCTGGACATTGGTAACGACGCCGAAAATCTTCTCAATGCTAGGATCCCAGACAACAAATTCGTACTGCAGTGTTAGCCTGAGTAGTGATTTAAATAAAAACTTCTGAGTTGAAGGAGCCTGGAAAACTTACGTTTTTAGTAGCCAAGCATGAGGTTAGCCTTGTAAATGACGTGTTGAGCATCTGAGTCCAATATTAGATGAGATGGCATGTAATCGCCAAGATATTTCTGCCTGCGTTTTCCAATGCCTTGTTATGCAGAACATGAGAGGTATGTCTGTTAGCTTGTCTCCTATGTTCACACCATCTAACGTTCCGAGGTTCATTTTGAAGAAGTGATAGGCAAGAACTCTTAGCTATTTCGTGGTATACAACGCAATCGTCGGCAAATAAAGAAATGAAAGAGGCAACCTGCAACGGTAATTCAGTAGTATAAAGGAGAAAAAACTAAAGGCCAAGCACGGATCCTTGAAGTACTCCAGATGTTACCGGAATTTTTTATGAGTCTGTAATAGTGCAATATGCAAATTGTAATCTATAAAAAAAAGAGCCAATTCGAAACAAAATAGGTTCCATATTAAGATTGTCGAGCTTAAAGAGTATTTAGTTTATGAGGCACTTTGTCGAACGCCTCATAGGAGTTCAGGCAAATAAGGTCAGTGTGTGAACCACGATCAAGCATTTCATGAAAATCATCTTTTAGTCTCACAAGTCGCGTTTGGCACGAAATCATTTACGAAAACTGTGTTGGTAAGTGTCGATGAACGAATTGACCGCAAGATCCCGGTGAGACTATACTATATATTTCACCGCTTAGCTGTACTGAAATAATGAATAATCATATAAATATAGAGACACCCGGAGAAGCAAATAAAGAAACATACGAAGAAACCAACAAAAGTAAAGAAATAAATAAATATGTAAATAAATAGATACTGGTTATGATATAATTTTCTTTCTTAATCTGGCTACGCTAACTAAGTGTGACAATACAGATCTTTTGCGTATAGCCGAGCAAAATGGAAAAGGCTATATATACGCAGGGTTGGGCAGTATTGGTACACAAAAGTATCGCGACAGGATTTCCCAAATAGATGTCGTAACTGTATTTCTGTATTGCGATATTTTTTTTTCACCAGTATCTGTATTCCTGTACCAAAATACATTTTGAATGTTTATTTGTATTACGATAAAATTAGGATTAAATGTATTTCGTTACATTTCTTGAAAAATGCTACCCCCCCCCCCCCCCCCGAAAAAAAAAAAGGATACAAGACCGAATGCTTTTTTTTTTTTACTTCAGAGGGATTCAGGTTCAAGGAGATGCTGGGGCATTGTTACTATGCTGACCAAGGTTCCTTCCGATTCTCCAAACTATTTTTCTATGTGTCCTCTTCTTTCTTCTGGGAAGTGTTGCGTAGTCGGGGACTACGCAACACTTACTCTGACTCCAATAGTGGAGTCAGAGCATCTTCTGCCGCAGGTCCCTAGGTAGGGATTTAATGAGCCCTTATTAGCTCGCATCAAATTCCCGCTGCTAAACGTCTCTCTTGCCTTAGCGTACACAGTACACCCAGCCGGCAAAGCTGAGTCACAGTCCGTTGCAGCACAAGCCTGGCGGTGGTTGACGCGAAATAGTAGGATGACTCACGGACACGCAGTGAAGTTCAACAGCTATTCGAATGCGACTGCGGCTGCGCCCGTAACATTGCACGGCTCAAGGGTACGTCATCAGTCCACATGAATGTTCTCCGGCTGCTCTGGTGATCCGATACCCAGAGAGCGGGCCAGACGTAGCCTCGCTGTGCCGACTCAGACTTCGTACACCTGCGACCCTGCGACTTGTCTCGAGCGCGGTGTTTTTCGGAGAGCTCGCACCGTTGTTGGCAATATCAGGTCGCAATCCACGAGGTCTCTGTTTCGATGGTGCTAGGCGAAACTTGAGGACTGCAATCCATGCATCGGTGGCGGAGGGTCGGCAGGAAGGACCGTAACAACAGGAATGCCACCGTATCGTTTTTGTTTTTTTCAACCGAAACATCAGATAAGACATGTGTTCCAGGAAGCTTCAGGTGGTCCACTATTTTCGAAAATTCCAAATTCAACTGCCTGCTCGATCTTCAACGAGTTCACCTACAACTAAAGCACGTATTGTCCTTTCATAGAGCAGCGTGGGTAAAGTTTCATTTTCAAGGCCACATCTTCAGATGCAAGAGTACCAGTTCATTCCACCGAGACGTAATGTGACCAATGTTGACCGGGATTTGGGGTGACAAAGAATTTATTTCGAGGTCGAAATCTTTTCGCATTACTCCTCAGATAGAAAGGTTGTCATGGAAGGGACCGCAGTCAATTCTTGATGCAAAGTTTTTTGAGCCCATTGAACACTCCTCTTCGTCCGAAACCATTACCTTGTGGGAAAGTTGCCTTGCTGCGTGCCCAACCCGTTCTTTCACAGGGGGTAACGCCCCCCGCGCTCTTTACACACAATGGCGCCCCTATAGCGTCCACAACCTTCAAGTCAAAGTGCCAAGCCTACGGAGAGTAATTTCGGGTAAACACTTCCCCTTCAAACTTCAAGCTTCATCTCAGTTGACTTCTCAAAAACATTTTAAAATCTATTGCACTATCAGTATTTCAGTATTTTTATTTCTGCCCTCCCTAAAATATGTTCGTGTATTTGTATTTTCAGAGGCTGTTTGCCTCTATTTCAAATGTATTTCCGATAGGTATCGCGATACATTTTAACAGATATATTTGAGTATCAGTATCTTAGCTACTAATTTAATGTGTCCCAGAATTTTAGTTCCAAATACATTTTTGTGCATTTCCGCCCAACCCTGAGTTGAATCCACCCGGGTGGTTTCAACTCAAATCGGACGGGCTAAATAGGTCTAATTTGTTTTCATTTTTACGAAAAAAAAATGTTTTGGGGGCATTTCTCAAATGAAGGAGGACGCAAACCGCATGTTCACCAGATTATTTTGTTCTCGAGTTACGAAGCCTAGAATCCGCAGTGGCAGAAACTAGTCTTTTTGACCGCCGTCGAAGGTCGCGTGTTTGACACCCTCTGCTCGCGCAAGTGTTTTCCTACTCCTTTATAACGTTTCCCCCTCATTTAATATGTACTATAAAGATATCTAGACGTATTCAAATATCTTTAGAAATTTTATTGTTTTCTAAGCAAAATGTCAAACTCGTCACTCAGGTTGATATTTGGTTAACTTTGACAGGTCATTACTTTGTCTTAAAGGCCGACGACCAGACTCAAGATTCTGCAAGGCAGAAGACCCTCCTCTCCACGCCTTCGGGCGAGGGAAGCGAAGGATGGAAAGAAGCGACCAAGAGGGGCGGGCATGGGTGGAAAGGGTAGGAGGGAGAGGAGGAAGCGGGTGAAAAGTGGAAAGCGCGAACTGGTCGTCGGTCTTTAAGTTAAATTTTCTTTCTTTGATTCTATACAAAGCCCAAAGGAAGCCCATTTTTCGATATGATAATGTCATTATGATCAGTTTACTAGCCGCTCCGTTACCTTCACGTAAACGTTGTAAGAATAACTAATGTTAAAAGTTTGAGATCTATTTTCTAAAAAAAAAAAAACATTTTTGAAGAACTTAAAAAGCAAAAATTTACAAAAATGAGGTTTTCAAGAAAATTGACCTCGAACTTTCACAAGCAAACCTCAAACCGGCATGTGCGCCTCTACGTTTTCGGAATTATGTTTCTTATTTTTTTTTTTTTTTTTTGCGTTTTCAAAAAGGGGCGTAAAGTAGGTGAACTTGTGATATTCATTGTAATTTAAAACTTGAAATAAGAGAGAAACCACATACGCACACTTTAAAACAATGAGTAACAGGTATATACAAATCGAAAGGCAACGCAACGTGTCAAAAATTGTTTCTATATAGAACGGTTCAAAGTAAACGAGGGTGACTGCTCATTATATAGCTTATTTTGATTGAATGATAAATTCTTACACCATTTCAATCTGTACATAAATCTTCTGGAATTTCTTTAACGAGTTTAAGAAGTGGACAAAAAAAAAATACAATCCCCACTTCACCAGACGCGCCCAGCGAAGAGCCACACGACTCCGGAAAGCGCGTTCTGAAGTCAACGTGCCGTCCTCCTTGCACTTCAATTTGCGGAAAATTGGAGTGTCGTGATCCAGCGGGCGGTGCAAGGAGATCACTGAAAGAGCGAGTTCGTTTCTATCTTTATTTGTGTGGCTACGTAGTGAGTGACGACATCGTCCATCACTCGTCCCTTGCACTCTTGGCGCTCAACGTCGTCGAAGGGCGGCTGGAGGAACTATTGCCTATTTTTACGCAGCTCGTTTATATTTCAGACGGTGCTCCAAGACACTTCAAAAAGAGGCACCAGGTGTACGAATTAAAAAAAAAAAAGGAATGTCGTCGCCAAGGGAATATTCTCCGAATCAGGGCACAGGAAAAGCTCGTGTGATGGAGTGGGCGGCGTGCTCAAGCACCAGGCATCCAAGTATGACTACAGAATTGTACTCCGTAACGAACGCGTAAAGCTTAGTTGAGGCATTCAGACCGAAAGTCAAATGGATTGTTCTACTCTCAATCGCCAAAGAGAAGCTCACGCGTTTCCGGGAGCTCAAGAGAGAAGAGTGGGAGAAGGTAAACCCACCAAGAGTCATCGGGTCCTCACACGTGTGGAGGAAGACGGCTTTAACGTTGCCCTAGAAAAGATCTGCGCAAGCACAGAGCAGCTGCATATACGTGTCAAAAGGCACGTGCCGCTTTGTGTCCCGAAATTTAGAAAATCATCAGTGAGGGCGTGCGTGCATGTTCAAAAGTGCAACCGTGAACTCTGTGGCTCCTACGCAGCGTGAAAACGGATTCACAGTTACGTTGAAATAGTAAAAAAAATGTACTGACTTGGGGAAATGTGCCATCGATGTTTTTTATGTTTTTTACTGGTTCTCCGCGCGCGTTTCTACGTTACTAAGGTGCACGAACTGTGCAGTCAACCATCGACAATCAGCAAGATGTGAGGATAACAAAACGCGGCGCATATTTTCCGAAGATATATGTACAAGATTTGAATAATGCGAGAATGTCCCATTCGATCGTAATAGGCTGGGTAATGAGTAGCCACCCTCGTTTATTTTTAACCGTTCTATATAGAAACAATTTTTGTCATGTCGCGTTGCCTTTTGATTTGTATATACTTGTTACTCATTGTTTTGTAGTGTGCTGATGCGGTTTCTCTCTTATTTCAAGTTTTAAATTACAATTAATATCAAAAGTTTACTTCGTTTACGCTCCTTTTTGTGAACGTAAACAAAAATAAGATATATTTTAGAAATCGTAGAGGCACACAATGCCGGTTTGAGGTTTGTTTGCGAAAGTTTGAAGTCAATTTTCTAAAAAAAAAAAGAAGTTGTAAAGCTTTTTTTTCTAATTTTTTTTTAGATATAATAGTTGACTACAACAAAAAAGAAGCAGTCTAGAAATGTAATATTTTGGTTGTATGTCCTCTATTCGAGCCGCAATCGCGTGAAATGTGTGCTCATTCTAGTTAAATGAGCACAAATGTCACGCGATTGCGGCTCAAATAAAGGACATTCAAACACAATATTACATTTCTAGATTGTTTTTTCTTGTAGTCGACTAATTTATCTAAAAGAATTTTTAAAAAATAGAAATTTACAAAAATAGGGTTCTTGAGAAAATCGATCCCAAACTTTCGACATTCGTTATTTCTTACAACGTTTAAGTGAAGGTAGCGGAGCGACTAGTAAACATATCATAATGATATTATTATATCTATAATGGGCCTGCTTTGGGCTTTTCATAGAGCCAAAGAAAGGAAATTTACCTTAAGTACAGACAAAGTAATGACCTGACAAATTTGACCAAAAATGCGACCTGAGTGACGAGTTTGACATTTAAAAAATTATATAAAAATATATTTGAATATACCAAGGTATTAATATAGCACCTATTAAATGAGGGGGGATGTTAAAAAGGTGTAGTAAAGACACTAGCGCCAGCAGAGGGTGTCAAACACGCGACCTGCGACGGCGGGCAAAAACACTAGTTCCTGCCACTGCGACTTGAACGCTTCGTAACTCGAGAACAAACAATCTGCGGAACGTGCGCCTTGCGCCCTCCTTCATCTGAGAAATGCCCCCAAGACATAAATTTTTTTTTCGTCAAAATTGACAATAGGACCCTCTTAGCCTGCTCGATTTGAGATGAGACCACCCATACACACACACACACACACACACACACACACACACACACACACACACACACACACACACACACACACACACACACACACACACACACACACACACACACACACACACACACACACACATATATATATATACAACGGGCATGGTGGCGGGAGGCCGAAGGCGTGGGTATATAACTGAGAAGAAAAAACCCTTAGTGAGAACAGCAACAACGGACAATTTAATCTTCGACGTTTCGGCCGGAGTCCGGCCTTCGTCAGGAAGACCGGATTCCGGCCGAAACGTCGAAGATTAAATCGTCCGCTGTTGCTGTTTTCACTAAGGGTTTTTTCTTCTCAGTTATATATATATATATATATATATATATATATATATATATAAGTATGCTCAAACGTTTGCCAACAAAATAGGACACGAGATTTATTAAACAACGTGCTATACTCATCTGTACACTTAAGGCGTTGCTGAGTATGCGAAGGATCAAGGCTTTCTGCAATGCCGAAGAGCAGGAGAATCGACAAGCCTGCAGCAAGAATCACACCCAAAGGAAAGGTACGAATAGATGACAGACAAACAATAAACATCTGCTTCTTTATATATATATATATATAAAGATATTTCCGTACCATCATGCTTCAAACCTTGAGGTTCTTCTAATGGCATTCTGAATTATTAAGCATTACTTCTTCCAAAATAATACATTTATTATATCACGTTACATCAGAATGCACCTGAACTATATAAAACGTATATGAACTTTCCCAGACCCACGCCTTTAAAGCAGGCATTTCTTTCAACCTGGTACTCGAAGACTTCCTTTTCGGGCGCTAGGACGTAAAATGTAAAGGCTATTTTAGGTAAACTGTGCGAAAACTTTAGAAACGCTTGTACACGCTACGTCTCTCTAAGAAACGTATTAGTGTATACGGTCCTAATGAGCGAGTCGATGTCGTTTTTCGCTACGTGCCAACATTTCTAATTAACAAAGGCCCTTAGCTAATTTTAAAGAAACTGTACGTTTACTAAAATATTAAGGTGGGCTAGTTGGATATGACAATTAGAAACAAATATTGCGAAGGTCAAGTACACGCTGACGCAACAAGCTGTAAGAGAATGTATCGAGAAAAATTGTACAGAGCCCTTCCAAAACCAATCCGGCTTACACCTTGAGTCATTCTTGGAGCTATTAACATTCTACCTAGCATCCACAGTGGTCTCATATTCATCGGGAATGCTTACCTGTTAAAGAAAGGAATTGGCATTGGACCATGTGTGGCACCAGTGTTATGCAACATCTTCTTATCCAGATGCGTTCGGGCCATCACCCAGTGGGTATTTACCAACCAGGTCTCAAAAATATACAGATATGTGGTCGACTATGTTGTGCTACTAAAATATACCTGATGTAAATAACGAGCAAAAAATCAGACACATACGTTCAATCTTCACTAATAATACACAAGGACTCAACTTTACACACGAGCTACCAACAGACAGCATAAACCAATCTCTTGATTCCAACTAAACCACTCTTTCTGGATGAACATACTACGATCAAAAAAACATTTACTCCAATATGAGTGTTCCCATTCAAAACTCATTAAAATGACAATTATCAAAAACTGTCTTAGCGCAACCCTCAAGAAGTCATGTGCTCACAAGGCGGGATAGAGGTTTGAGACACAAATACACCGACTCAAGACCTCTGGATATCCAAGTACCACCTTGTACGAGCTAAGCTGTAGAAAAATGATCAACTCCCACAGACAGAAAGAAAAACCCAAGTACAAAGGACAACACCTGGCTGTAATAGCCTACATTCACCGGGTATCACACAACGTGAAAAAGGTGGCTTCCAGGTATGACATCCTTCTCGTATTTTCAGCACCAGACAAGCTAAAAAGGTTTGTCCGATATAAAATTCCCCACATGGAAGTCGCATTCAATGCGACCAGAGACATAAGCAAACATATACACCTTGCCAACGCCAGGTCATTTATGAAATACCTTTCACATGTGGAAAAGTATATGTTGGTCAGTCTGGCCGCTGCGTGAACACCAGGTTACGTGAACATGCTGCCTCAATCAAATCAACACCATCGGTGCATCTCGCAGTGTACGTAAGATACTGTCACTGCAAACCGATACTTACAGTGAGAAAGGTCCTTCGAAAGTTCCGTGAGAAGAAATCAGGGCAACCATACGAGCTACTGACCATCAAAGAAAAAGAGAACTCGTGTGTCAGAGCATCATCAGTGGCATTAAGTGACAAAGAACTCCATTACCTTAACTTTCCTACTTGAGGTTGTTTAATTCGGTTACAGTCACCAACTTCCTGTTTCTTTCTTTCTGGTATTTGTAAGTTCTTTACACGTAACTTCCCTTTCCCATCAACACAAGTTCATCATTGGAATTTCTTCATGCCGAAGAGAAAGGCGAGAGAGAAACACTACCTCTTTCTCGTCGTCTGTGTGAAGATTAAAACGACAGTTGTGAGTTAGTGCTTCTTCCGTCAGTCTGTACTTGACTTTCGCGCTATTTATTTTTAATAACTTTAAAGAATATAATATTTTTGTGCGCGAACCCTCCATTACGAAAGTTTTAAAGCGTGTTGAATAATATCTCAACGAGTCGTTGCCATTAAAGTTTGACTCTAACGTTTTTTTCCTGGACCCCCATTTGCATAAACCTTTGCTAAACACACCAACAAACGTCGATGAAATAATATTCCAAATATTATTCCAAAATAAAATTTTTGCGAAAAGTTATTGATATTACAATTTCGGTTCTTACGCTATTTTTCGATATGAAAGTATTTGCTGGTAATATTGAAAAAGTGACGCTAACGGCAGGCAGGGGTTCACACTTTGGACCGTAGAATTTGTTCCAAACTAATTCCACACAGTTTCACGGTGAGAAACAGGTGCCTTGGAAGCTTCCTTCAGTGTCCGCGCACCAGAACGCAAACACTTCTGGGCATAGTCTATTTTCTAAGCTGCCTGCTCGACTGGCATGCCTACCTGCCACTGGAGTCACGACAATGAAATTTGCGGATATATTTGAAGGTTGGTTTTTGAGTCATTTTCAGTTGCCGATTTCACGATAATTATTCTGAATTTTGCGATGCTAAATAGCAGACCAGAAAGGGCAAAGGCGGGTATTCAGGAAATATATTTAATTTAGGTAGCTCAAAATATCGCCATTAAAGGGGTCATGAACGGTATCGGGTTGAAATATTCATGACTTTGTAGGGTCGTACTGATCCTAGTCTGGCCCAAGTATACTTGCACAGACCGCTATGATTGACCGCTGCTTCAGTCGCCTCTGCAGCAATCAAATTTTCTCCTTCCACACTAACCCTATCCACGTACTTTTCACCCAGGCGCAGTTGCCTTGGAAAACTGCTCGTTCGCCTGGACTAATGCACAGGGACCAAAGCCCAAGGCCGTTCTCTGTGGAATCTCCATGGACGTCCAACCAGGTGCCCTCGTTGGCATCACCGGGTTGGTGGGTAGCGGCAAGTCGTCCCTGCTGGCGGCCATCTTGGGAGACATGCACCGTCTCGACGGAACTGTCAATATCACCGTACGAACAAACACTTCCACGCTGTTAGGTTATTTGGGGCGAGATATAACGTCGATACACCCTTCCAACTTACGGTTGACGGCAGAGGTCGCTACCTGCCACTGGGGCCAATCTAAGGCCGTTAACGTTTTGCGTGACCTTGGAGAGGGAACTCAGTGAAACGTAGAAAGCGTATGACGTGCTACGTCCACGGAGGTGAATTTTCTGGTATGAATTGTAGCGTCGGCTGAAGTCGGATGTGTAATGGGAAGCTGAGTATAGCTCTGACGCAAGCACTGCGGAACGCCCCATCTTCTCTTGGACTTGCGGCTTGTCTCGGTTTTAGATTTCCAGCGCTTAATTAAAATTAATTAATTAAATTAAAAGCGTGTTCCTACCATCAAACCGTCTCTACATACTTTTGGTATTAGTCAAACGATTTAGATTGGAGCACGTGTAGAGAAAGCTCGCACGACAGATCCCAGGGATCCTGGGTTCAATCCCTATCCCTGCCCGGTGTGATCTGGGTGGGCATCGTACCGGCATGCGGTCGTGTATCACTACTGCGTGGCACACGTTAAAGGCTAGCGATTCTACTGCACTGGTTGAATTTCTCATCTACAGCTGAGACACAAGACACCCATTGGGGCTGACTAACTTCCGGCTGTACAAAAATACACATAAACGTATTCAAACTAGCTTTCTTTTTCTTCTTGCCACTTTCATGACATTTATTGCGGTTTGTGCGCAACAATGGTTGTACCTAGTATTGTTCCATCAAAATTACAATTAGCAATATATGCTTTGAGATATATATTGCGACTATCGAGGTTTTGTACCAAAGCAAGCATTTACATTAAAAAAAAAAAAAAAAAAAAAAAAAACATTTAACAGTTTTTATGAAATGCATTTTCATATTTACTTCCTGAAAAATAAAACATGCGCTACACACATTTTTTTTTCCTTTTCATTGCACAGAGTGGTTCCCACGAGCAAATTAGTTTTCTTTTTACCTTAATCCTTTACGTTTACTGCCGGGCCCGCCGTGTTCACAATAACATGCATATTTGTTATGCACAGCGCGTCCAGGTTATGAAAACGATCAATTTCACAGCTATCACCAAATTTATACAAAAAGAGATGAAGGATTATAGAAAGTGTAATTTTCACTTGGCTTGTGTAGATGCTTTAAAAAAATAATATTCCCTTATGCAGGTCATCTTAAGGGCATCCTTAATGTGTTGCAGGGAAAGGTGGCATACGTTCCTCAGGTGGCTTGTATTTACAACATGACTGTCCGTGACAATATAGTGTTTGGTCAGTCTTTCGAACCTGACCGCTATAGCAGCGTGCTCCGGGCGTGTGAACTTTTTAACGACATCAACACATTCCCTGCTGGTGACCTCACTGAAGTTGGGGAAAAAGTAAGTAAAAACAGCACTCAGCAAAACAATTTGCAAGTCAACGTTGAAATCGCGTGCCGTCTTTCGCTTCAGAAATTCTTCAAAATCGTGAATGGGTAATGTCGTTCGTAGTGCCCAATATGTCCTAACCTTTGGTCGGAAAAACTTTAAGATATATTTAAAGAAAAAAAAAGCACGAGAATTTTCTACTTAAGATATAAACTCTTCGTCTGGATATCTACCTGAAATTTAAGACACAAAAACACAGCACAAAATGTTTGTTATATATTGATACTATTGTTTAATCAATAAATCAATCAATTAATCAATCAATCAACCAATTTAAGCTTAATTCTGTCCCAAACAGCTTTAGGGACTTATGAGAGTTACACTTGCACGAAATGAGACAGCACTAAAATTTGCATACTAAACAGCAATCCTTAGTATTTTACTGTTCTTGAACTTTTCAAAAGAAGTGAAAAAGTTTAAGTCAAGGTTAAAACTTTTGTCGTACATGTGCATCGAACTTAAACTACATACGGTGCACTCTCGTCTATTCAATCGCAATTCTTTTTTTCTGCGGTAGCATAACTAAGATGCATGAGAACAAGAAATGTCAAAGCTATTCCACAAAGAAACATGTAAAAAATAGGTATGGCATAACACCGAATGAATTGTCTGATCTAGATATCGTCAGAATTGTGAAGATCATGTGTGATTTTTATTTTGGATTCAATTTGAATGCTGTTAGTTGTCATTAACGATATCTCTTTTCTTCTAAACATTTCACGGCGAAAATTTTGAGTCTTGCAGGGTGAAACCTTGAGTGGAGGTCAGAAGCAACGAATCTCACTTGCCAGAGCAGCCTACAGTTACAGCCAGATCTACCTTTTGGACGACCCGCTCAGCGCCCTCGACCAAACAGTAGCAGACAAAGTCTTCGAGCAAGTGCTGGGGAGCTGCGGCCTCCTGAAGGACACGGTATGGTCGCGCTTAGATGAACACGTAGCCGACTTTCTTTTAGCAACATCAGCATTGGGAATCGTCCTTTGTATAAATTTGAAGGATAACCGCTAAAACGACCCTACTGGAAGAATTTAGTGCACTTACCTTCTTCAGAAATCAACAGAACTTGGCGATCGCCCGAAGAGACCAAACTTATTCAGCCCTAAGGGACCAGCTTCTCAATTTCGGACACCTTTGCGCTTAAAATAATTCTTGTCAATTGCTTGAACCTTTATGTGGAATTAAGAGCGCAAATACGAGAAGGAAGGATAGACACATAATGATCAACCAACTAGCCCACCAGATGATCGTAATGCTTGAAGCTTTATATAAAATGGTTGCAAAAGGTTTTGCGTTCTCCAGAATTCTTAACATAGTTCGGGACAAAGCAAATCAATAGCTCATTGAGCTTCCTGGCACATTGTCAAAAGCTCAGGATGTCGCAATTTATAAATTTCAAATAAGGCTAATCGTGCCAGTTCTCCGCTAAGCAACAAAACTGGCGGCGCCCACAATAACTTCGGGAAAACAGAGCGCCATAGTTACTCTAATAGCCCATACAGATATTCGCGTGGTCAACGCGTTTGAGTGGGGAAATGCGTCCTTGCGGCTGTGTTCGATTGCTTGCGCTACGACGCGCGCCGTCACGTAGCCTACCCCAACGTACCGCGACAAGGCACCAGGCGTTCCGGAGAAAAAAAGAACTGTGTTTTTACGCCTTGCGTGAATAAACTATGCGTCCCAGAAAACTCAAACTCCGTAAGAATGTGAGGCTAGCGGTTCAAATATCACGTTTCAAAGTAAAAAAAAAAGACGTTGAAAAAGGAGATAATCGAGAAACGAAATTAGCAAGTACCGTGAAAAAGCACACAGGAGATTGAACCAAGATTACATGGGGTTAGGTGGATACGCTGAAGGGATGCCTTCTCTTGGTGAGGAGTGGTCAGCTCGGTGTCGAAAATTAAATTGATATCATTCACGTGCCCCACTATTTTCCCCCCTTACACTATCGTTAAAAAATGCATAGTTACCAATTAAATTTGAGAAACACTTGGTTATCGCACGTTTGTTTTAATTTATCTTTCCCAGAAAGTCTTTATACAAACAGTAAACATGTTTCCTAACGCATGCTGTGTAGTTAGATGCCTGCTTCGGGTATTAATTATTATTTTTAGCTATTTGACTATTGATCTGCTTGGTCACCGTCAAATCATTATTATCTGAAATTTAACAATGTTGTGTTATGCGTGTCCTTATGAGTGAGACTGTCTTCAAGTGGCTCATATTGGTTTTGAGGAGCTAGTCTTGACCAGATCAGTTTCACTTGGCTATGAATAACTTTAGTTACTATTATTCCCACATCTGGGATATTAGCGTTTCTGGAATAGAATTAACTTCAAGTGGATATTATTCGCTGCTGGAATATGTTCTTGGTCAGATTGGATTGAAATAGGTATATATATCACTCACTGTCAATATTATATACATTTCATGCAGTTGGTGTGTTCTTAAAAAATGATTGACTTCAACTGGCTAATATTGACTATAGGCATCTATTATTGACCTAGAAGGCTCGAATTGGCTATTATTGCTTCTTATTGCCTGACAGCATCCATTGCTGACCTGGTTGGCTTGAATCGGCAACAAATGGCTAGTAGTGCTAATTTGTCGCAATGTTCCGCTATTTCCATACTTATAAATGTAAATGGCTTCAGTGGGTTTTGTTGGCAATTAACATCTGTTCTATACAAAATCGCTTTAAATCAATTAAGAATGAAGATTAGTGACTATTGTTGACGTTTTGCTATTCATTACTTTTTGAATATGAATGAACTCAAGTGGCTTCTAATGGCTATTTGCAGTTCTTGGCCAAATAGGCTTGAAATGGCTATACGTCGCTATCAGAAGCTATTATTTACAATTTATGCAATTGTAATGTGTTTGGATTGAATTGACTTCAACTGACAAATATTGTCTACAGGCTTTTGACCTGGTTGGGTTAAATTGGCTATTATTGACTATAAGCACATATACTTACCTGGTTGGCTTGAATTGGCTATAAATGGCTATTAGTGACTAGAATTGATAATAATTAGCTACTTTTGTGGCTACAAACATATGAATGGCTTCATGTGGCTATTTTGGTTTTTTGGGATCCATCTTTTTACCCGATTGGCTTCAAATGCATTCGGACGGCTCTTTGTGAATATAGTTGACAACAGACCCTCTCTGGAATTCAGTCTGACCACTTTGATCAATATCATCACCTAAAAAATGATATATGTGCTATACTAATGGCGGCGTCCTATTTACTGATGAAGAGAGAAGTTGGAGATGCTCCTAAGCAGATGATTCAAGACCTATGCGGAGGGCAAGTTCGTCTGCTCCTTGCGCAGGGGGTAACGGTGACGTCAGAACGCCGAGCCCTGATTGGCTGATCGCGCCCCCCTATCTCAGCGTCGTCTGCTTCTTTGCAACGTCGTCTGCTCGCAACGTCGTCTGCGTCTGTCTTACGTTTCCTGCGACTTTCGGAAGTGCAGAGGCCAGATTCACGAAACGATCTTACGCCAAAAATGTGCGTAAGACAAAACTTAAGAACAAATTCGTATTCACGAAACGAAATTTTCGTAAGTTTTGCGCAGGTTACGGCGAAATCCTACAACAGCTCCGAAGCTGTCTTACGCACTTCAACTCAGCATGGCCGACAGCGTCGCGGTCGCGACGACCCACGGACGTTTATTTTTCTACGTAAGCTTCTCACGCGTCCTGACTTCAAGCAGCAAAAAAAAAGTAAAAATTACTTGAAACAGAGCACGACGAACAAGAACGCTGGATCCACAGACACCGGGGAAAAGATACAACGGCGACGATTCCACCGAACGCGACCAAACGAGCTGGGCAGTTAGGCCTAGCAGGCTTTCCGCGACTTGGCGACCGTCTGCCCACGACCGTCTGACGTGCTGAATGGAATATGCCCGCGCGACCCTTGTGAACCCTTCCCGTGTTATACTTTGATCGCTGACCTCAATTTTAGATTAAGAGGTCAATTTCTTCCTCTTATCTCCTTGTTTCCCGAGGCAACGGTGACTTTCGCCGGTGAAAAAGCGGCGAATCTCCGACAGACGCAGGAAAGGTAAAGCAGCCATCGCTTTGACTAGCAGACGTAAAGCAGACGACGTTAACTGCGCCAACCCGCCGGCGCCGTTAAAGAGTGAGGGGTCTCGCCGCACACGAATGGAGGTAAAAAGTATTTGGGAGGGAACTTGCGGACACTAAGCAAACAAACCTCGGCGCCTCGGGACACCTCGCCAGTGAGTCCTTTGACTTCCCTCCTTGATGCGCGTCTGCTAGTTTTTAAACGAAAACAACGTACCGCTCGAGTTATTTCGTCTGAGTTCGCTCCGAAAGTCGCAGGAAAGGTAAGACAGACGCAGGCGATGTTGCGAACAGACGACGTTGCAAAGGAGCAGACGACGCTCAATAGGGGGTCGCGATCAGCCAATCAGGACTCGGCGTTCTGACGTCACCGCTACTTCCTTTCTCATGCGCAGAAGACGAAAATGAGCCCACTTGCGAGGCGTATACATTCTAGACGTTAGTGCGACGTGAAGCAGGAATTGAATGCAAGAGCTAGTAGGCGTTCATTTCTAACTCGGGTACAGAGAATCTGTTAGTAGCACTACTCGGCTTCAAAGCTCCTTGATGGATGGAACTTTATCAAGGCTTCTATGCGGGTTCGCGCTTCGTTCTGACTGGTAACATCTTTTTTGTCGTCGACATTGAAAGAGATTGGAAAATAATTGTACAGTGAAGTGCACAATCTCGTTGACCGTTGACTTGCAAAAGCGACGGTGCCCCATAAAATACTGTAGACAACAGATTTGTTGCCGCAATTAGTAAGGTAGAAATTAAACTGCCATTAGAGTCACCAGATGGCACTTAATTCCGGAAAGGGTCTATTATGTGGAATTTTGGTGTTTATGGATTAAAATGACTCCAAATGGCTATTATTTGCGATCTCATTAAGGGTTATTAGCTTCGCTTGAAATGGCTATACATGGGTATTATTGAATATTATTAGAAATTACGAGGCTATTTCTATGTTTACGAACTTGAATGGCCTCATGTGTATATTGCTTGATATTAGCTTTATAGTGACACAGATGCGCTAGGATCGCAATGTTGGTTATCACGAGCGCCAGCCTCTGCCAGCGACTGTAACTTGGAAGCCAGAAAAATAAAAAAAATGAAGACGTTCACTCTAGCCAAAGCTCTGGTCGGGACACCTGCATTATTCCGCCGGCGTTTAAACGACATCGCCGACAAACTGGTGACCCCGACGTCCTACCAACATAAACCAGAGTGCTGGTGGTACTTCTTTAAACAGCGACAAAGCCTCCTATGCAGTCCACCTCCGCCTTCCAGCCTTCTTGGCGAAACATCCCCGGGCCAGGTTTTCCCAAGTGAAAGAACAATCCCACCTGCGGCGCATAAAAAACCGGAGTGCCCGCTACTATTATGTGGTTTCCGCTCTTCCCCCCAGAGCTGGCTGACGTGCTGGACGACGTACTGGCGTCTCCCCCTTCTGACGGCGCCTACGACTACATCAAGCGGACGATTCCCGCTAGGAAGACGGAGTCTAGAGGCTTCAAGGCTGCAGCAGCTCCTGAGCCCAGAGGATCTCGGCGGCCGTCAACCCTCTCAGCGGCTTCATCGCATGCGCGAGCTGTTATGTGAGCAAGCTTCGGATGTGAGCAATCCGATTCTACGGGAATAGTTCCTCTAGCGCTTGCCGCAAGGCATTCGCGTGACGCTTGCACCGGCTACCAACCATGCACTAGATCGCCTTGCCGAGATGGCTGACCGCATCGCGAAGTCTGCTGCGCCTGTCCTGTCAAGCTTCACGGATAACGCTCATCAGCGTTCCGCCGTGCGAGCCCTTGAGGCCAGCATCAACGCGTTCACAACAGCTGTTG